AAGACCTAAATAGACATTTCTCCAAAGAAGACATACAGATGGCCAAGAAGCACATGAAAAGCTGCTCAACATCACTAATTATTAGAGAAATGCAAATCAAAACTACAATGAGGTATCACCTCACACCAGTCAGAATGGGCATCATCAGAAAATCTACAAACAACAAATGCTGGAGAGTGTGTGGAGAAAAGGGAACCCTCTTGCACTGTTGGTGGGAATGTAAATTGATACAGCCACTATGGAGAACAGTATGGAGGTTCCTTAAAAAACTAAAAATAGAATCACCATATGACCCAGCAATCCCACTACTGGGCATACACCCAGAGAAAACCGTAATTCAAAAAGACACATGCACCCCAATGTTCATTGCAGCACTATTTACAATAACCAGGTCATGGAAGCAACCTAAATGCCCATCGACAGACAAATGGATAAAGAAGATGTGATACATATATACAATGGAATATTACTCAGCCATGAAAAGGAATGAAATTGGGTCATTTGTAGAGATGTGGATGGATCTAGAGACTGTAATACAGAGTGAAGTAAGTCAGAAAGAGAAAAACAAATATCGTATATTAACGCATATATGTGGAACCTAGAAAAATGGTACAGATGAACCAGTTTTCAGGGCAGAAATAGAGACACAGATGTAGAGAACAAACGTATGAACACCAAGGGGGGAAAGTGGCAAGGGTGGCGGTGGTGGTGTGATGAATTGGGAGATTGGGATTGACATGTATACACTAATATGTATAAAATGGATAACTAATAACCTCCTGTATAAAATAAATAAAATAAAATTCCAAAAACATTTTCAAAAATTAAAAAAAAAAAGGAAAAGGGCTTCCCTGGTGGCGCAGTGGTTAAGAATCCACCTGCCAATGCAGGGGACACGGGTTCGAGCCCTGGTCCAGGAAGATCCCACATGCTGCAGAGCAACTAAGCCCGTGCGCCACACCTACTGAGCCTGCATGCCACAACTACTGAAGCCCACGTGCCTAGAACCCGTGCTCTGCCACAAGAGAAGCCACCACAATGAGAAGCCCGCGCACTGCAATGAAGAGTAGCCCCTGCTCGCCGCAACTAGAGAAAGCCTGCACGCAGCAACGAAGACCCAACGCAGCCATAAATAAATAAATAAAATTTATATTAAAAAAAAGATTTAAAAAAAAGAAATAAGGATCATATGGGATAAAAGTCTAAGCTACCTTTATTCTTTAGTAACCTATTAGTTTACATAGTAAAGGAAGTTTTAAGATAACCTGTTTGGATGCAGTTAAGAGAAGCCTAGACCTTTGTTACCAAAGACTCTATCGACATGGCCTGGAGGGCTCAAAACACAGAGGAATGGAAAGGGAAGTTCCTTTGCTCAGGGTACAAACTGGGACCTCAGAAAAGCTGCCAACAGAGATAAAAACTTACTGGTTTCAAATTAACATTCTGTATATAGAGGGATAAAGGCCAATAGCCTTATGGTTGACCTTGGATTTGGGAGTAAGCAGGTGGCAGCAATAAGTATCTGTTTGTCTGAATCCCACACTAGGTCTAAGCCTGTGGGTGCTTCCAGACAACCAGTGACACCTGGGGAAAACTGAAGGACTCTGTACCTGGTTGGTCCTTAAGAAAGGAGTTGAGACTGTAAGATTTGATTTTTTTATTAAGATATTTTACCATTAGAGAATACAAAATTTAAAAACACAGAAAAATAGAAAAAACATAGCAAATCCTACCATTTAGTGACAACTACTGTTAATGTCTTGGTGTGTTTTATCTATTTTTTTTTTAAACATCTTTATTGGGGTATAATTGCTTTACAATGGTGTCTTAGTTTCTGCTTTATAACAAAGTGAATCAGTTATACATATACATATGTTCCCATATGTCTTCCCTCTGTTTTATCTATTGATTGATTCATTGAATATAAATATTACTTAAGGCCTGTGGTGAATGGTGCCAAGCCCTGGGGAGCACTGAGGTCAACACAACAGACACTTCGTTGATCTGCAGCATCTCCTTCCAGTCTCTTCCTGGGCATTTTTTTTGTACATGCAGAAACGATTCAAAGTTCTCTAAAGTTACAGGAACGGTCTAAAAATATTGTATAAGAAAACTCACTTCCTTAGTTCTGTTCGTTGTTTTATATACTTTGGACACCTCAACTTTCATTGAATCAGGAAGATGTTATCTCCCTTGTTGTTCTCACTTGTCATGAACTCAAAGGGGTTAAGATGAATAGGGTACCAATTAAGAAAAATTACGTTATGGGAGTAGAATCCTTAGGGGTCTCTCCATCTCCAGCTCCATCAACTTTCTAATGTTCTCTGAGTCACTTTTTCCTTCGGTGTTTCTGCTTCTAGGTGGAGCGTCTTCTCTCCAAGCAGTCTGTCCTTGCATCTCCTAACTGGAGGCCACCACTGCTCAGTCTCTGCCCAGCACAGAAGCGGCCCACCTCCAGGGGTCTCGATCCCACCTCTTTCTTCTGTCATTCCCGGTCCTCGAGAGGCCCTGTTGAGCACTGCCAGGCCCACCTGGCTCTCTGACTGACCCCCTTTGGCGACACTAGCAGATACTGTTGGTGTCCGTCTGAAACCACCTGCAGCTGCAGTAGACAGTTTCCAACTTGCTGATAGCGCCCCACCCCAAGCACCTGTGTCTTCTCTCTGTGGTTCTCAAAACAGATTCTTCACCATTTTCATGTTTTCGGAAATCAATTATTTACAAAGTCTTTGCTCCCATGCATGTATGTGCTCTATATGTTTGCTGTTCTTTCAGCAGTGACCTTAGCCAGGGGTGGTGGTGAAAGTGGAAATGTACTGAGGCTAGATTTCTACCCTAGGTGCTGTGTGTGTGTGTGTGTGTGTGTGTGTGTGTGTAAATCAGCTCTTTTTTTTTTTTTTTTAATTTGGCCTCACTGCATGACATGTGGGATCTTAGTTCCCCAACCAGGGATTGAACCTAGGCCCCACAGTGAAAGCACCAAGTTCTAATCACTGGACCACCAGAGAATTCCCATCTTTCTTTTTTGAATTAAAAAAAAAAAGCACGCCTATGGTTAGAAAATATGTATATCAAACAGTACACAGACCCATTCAGACTCTTAGTCTCATTCCCAGAAGCAACAACTAGTGCCAGATTTCTGATGTATTCTTCCAGAAATATTCCAAGTATAAAAAGCCCAAGTATCTAATATAGATTCTCTTTTTTTTACATAAAGGAGAGTATAACATACACTTTAAATTTCACCATATATATTGGGGTTCACTCCAAATAGATCTATTTTACTTTTTTTCCCATAAAAATATTCTGTTGTTTGGAAATGCCATAATTTACTTAACCTATCCCTTTTGGACATTTGGGTTGTTTAACTCATTTGCTATCACAAACAACTCTGCTTTGAACATCCTTATGTACATATTTTGTATAAATACACTTTTGTCAACACTGAAGATTATCAATATCTTGTCTTTTGATAACTGGTAGGTGACAAAGAATATTTTCTTATTTCAATTTGCATTTCTTATATCTTAAGTTGGATGTTTTTATATGTTTATCAAACTATTGATATTTCTTTTTCAGTAAACTGCCTGTGTTGCAGCAAAAATAGAAATGAAGTTTTCCCTCCTCTGAGAACAAGGAATATAAAGGGAACAGTGAACAGGCTAGAGAAGAAACATAACCTGGCCTGAAAGAGTTAATCACTCCTTGGTTTACTTTAACTGTCACTAATTTGTAGTAACTAGATTTGTACTTTACAAAGCTAACCTCACTCCCTGACACTATGTAATTTACATTCGTCACCTATCACCCCTAACTGTGTGAGTTACATCCAGTGCGTCTCACTCCCTATTATGTCCTGGCACTTACATTCTATACGCCCCTCATAACAAATCACCCCCTATAATTTTCGCATTTCAGAAACAAAGTCACCGGCCGATAAACCAGAGGCAAACGGACACAATTACCAGACTGCTTGACCCCAATTACCAGGCGGCCTGACGCCAGCTATGACTGTTTTGAAATAATGCAAAGGAAAGGAAGAATGCAAGACCTTTGATCCTTACCATATACTCGGACTATGAGCCCCACATATAAAATCTTCCCTGTTTCCCAAGGAGTGGAGGCACAGCTCTTGAGGCGCTAGCCTGCTGTGTCTTCCCTTCTCCCTGGCAGAAAAATAAAGCCATCTCTCTCTTCCTCCAATATCTGTCTCCATATTTCTCTTCAGCCTTGGTGCACAGGGAAGCCGATATTTCGGCAACACCTTTTCCTGTTTTTGCCCATTTTCTTAATGATGTGTAAGATAAAAAATTCCTGTGTTAAGATTAGCCCTTTATTCAATCACCGTCCTACAAACATGTTGTCTTTTGCTTTTTTAACCCAACATTCTTTTCACCCCAAATTTAAAACTTTGTATACAGTCTAATTTATTTCCTTTCTGGCTTCTGGGTTTTGTGTTGTGTTTAGAAAAGCCTTCCTCACTTCAAAATTATTTTGATAATTTATCCCAGTATTTTTCCAGATTCTTTGTTACATTTAAGACTCCAGTCTATCTTGAAATTATTTTAGGATAGCAATCAGCTCTAATATTTGCCTTTTCTAACCTTGGCTCTTTGATCAATGACCCAGCTTCCTGGGAGTTCCAGAACAATCCAGATTTCCCAGATCCTTGGGGATGTGACTGTACCTGGCTTGATACATGGTTGGTTGTGACCTAGGGCCCCCAAGTCCTCTCCTGCTCACTGAGTGCTTGGCCCAGACCCCAGGAGGGAACCTGGGCAGGCCTCTCTCACTGGGGCATGTGGGCTCCAGGTGGTCCCACAGTGACCTGGACACCCATTTGACTGTAACATGGGCTGTAGCACTTCCTCTGTAAATTCCTCTGGCTCCCTTCCACTCTTCCCTCCCATCCCATCTGTGCAGGGCCCTGCCAGCTCTTCTCTGAGGAAATTTGCATCATGCAGCAGCGGGAGGCCCCTTGAAGACTGCTTCACTGAGCCATGGTCTGCTCGGCTGCCCCTGTGCTACTCTTGGCCATGACTCTCCCTCTGATGGGATCACCACTTGCCCGAGAGTCCCAGCCTGTGAGTAAGACTGGGGTGAGGGAAGACTCAGGGAAGATCTGCAGAGGTAACGACAGGGGCCTCTGGGTGTGAGAGGCAGCAAGATGTGGGATGAAAGGATGGATGGAGGCGAGAGGGTTGGAGGGAGAGGAAGTAATGTATTTTTAAAAGAGGCTGGTTTGTTATAAGATCTCCGAGAGTTCAGCCTTATTTTTCAGGGTGTGGGGATAGCTTTTGTTTCTTTATTTGAATTCCCATGAACACCAGCGATGCCTGCTGCACTTTGGATAAAGGCTCTTCCAGTCAGCCTTGCAATTTAAAAACGAAAATAAAAACTTTCCAAACTTGGGAACCATTGGCATAGAGGACAGGAGAGAATCTGAGGAAAGGCAGCAGAGTTAGTTTAGCACTTTATGATTTGTGTTTTCTCCCAGGTGGATATCTCTATCATCTCTATCTCTAGCCACATCCTTATCTAGATCAATATCTGTTTTTAGACTGATCTCCTCACCCACACACAGTTTTGAGAGAGGGAGGAGTTGGTGAGGAAATAATTTACAGGCACCAGAGACTAAGGTATTGCCTGCCACTCACCCTCATGGCAATGCCTATGGAGGGAATAAAGCCCCCAGGCCTCTGGGCCGCAGGCAGCTCTGCCCAGCGCCCCCAGCCCCCTCTGGAGCTCCAGACCCAGCCATTCAATTAGCCTGGAGGCATGGGGACGGGTACATTCAGGAAGGAATTAAGCAAAGCATGTTGACTCTCCAGGGTGTGCCTGGTTCCTGGGTTCAGGTGGGCTTTGCAGGCCTGGGCGGGATCCCTGGTGCTGCATCCCTGCACCTCCTACCAGAAGCCTGCTTTCCCCTCCTGAGGTGCCTGCTTGATTCCAGGCAAAAAGAGGAGCTTCAAAGAGACCAAGTCCTTCCAGATTAGCCAGGCTGGCCCCTGAGCGGCTTGGGGAAGAAGGTGTCCCCGGGAGAAATGCGGAGCCAGCTCTCCTCAGAGGTGTCTCCCCTGTGCTCTGCTCCAGGGACAGGGTCAGGCTGGAGGGGAATCAGGACAGCAATTGGACCAAGAACGTGGAGCAGGTGGTGAGTGGACAGACAGGAGGAGGAGGAGGGAGGGGGACGGGGAGCCTGGAACGAGGCAAGGAAAGAAAGAAAGGTCTGGAAGAGGGCACAACCGGGGGCTTAAGCGGGGTTAAGAGAGAGACTGGGTCTGGCGCTGGTCACACAGGTCTGAACGCAGTTCTCTAGCTGTGAGGCCTTGAGAAAATCCTTCCTTTTAGAGAGTCTTGCCCACGTAAGGGGGTCGTTGGGAGGGTGATATGAGACAGCGCGTGTGAAGGCACAGTAGCTGGGTGAGCAGTGACCACCTTCCTGGGTCCTGTCTGCACCTGGACAGGCTATGGGAGGTGCGATGTGCTCTGCTTCCTGGCGGGGACAGCGAGGTATGGGGCCCAAAGGCCACAGGCCCGTAGCTGCCTCTCCTCTCCAGCTGTCCCCTCTCTCCTGCAGAATCGGTCCTGGTCTCCGTCTATGTACAGCTATACTTTTCAAGTGAGCGCCGGCCGGTGGCACTCTCTGGGCCCCTGACTCTCCCCACCGCCTCGGCTTCCTCTGCCCCAGTAACTCTCACTGGCCTCAGCCTCACAGCCGGTGGGGTGGCGGGAATTCTACTGACCCCTGCTTCTCAGTGGCTCTTAGCTGTTTGCATGGGAAGGGGGTTCAGAGTGCAAGGAGCCCAGCCCTCCCGCAGCCCCCTCGTCTGAGATACTGTGAGCTCCTCCCTATTTCTTGGAGGGTCTGTGTGGCCCAGCTCCTTCCTCACCTCCCATCAGACAGACCTCCCCCTCCTGCCCCACGTCCCATCTTCTAAACTTTGGCAGAGGCCTAAGGGGCAGATGACCACGGGCCCGGGCTTCACCACTGCCACCTCTGATGCCTTTGCCCCACACGCGCCGCTGCTTTGAACTCAGGCTGAGAAGGCGATGCCTGTGACCTTGGGATTGCTCCCGACACCCAGGCTTAGAGCCTCACAGGCATCGGGCACTGGGCTTTCCCAGACAGCCTGCTCACTTCTTATCCCCCTTCCCTCTGTCACAGAGTGCGATGCCACCCACAAGGGGTGTAGCTACTGTGCTTGCCTCTCCGGGTACCAGTGGAACGCCAGCATCTGCTCCCATCACCGGCCCTGCCAAACCCCCGTCAAGCGCCGGCCTTGTGGCTGCCTTGTCTTCAGCCCTGCTGAAGCCGGGTACTGCCAGCTGCTGCCACCTGGTGAGGAGGGTTGGGAACGTGAAAACCAATGGCCCTGAGTGAAAGGAACCCTCTCTGTGTTTTTTCCTCTCTGATCCCCGTATCTCTGCCAGCTAGTGGCTCCTCTGGGTGAGAGAAAATGCCAGGCATCATAGCAGATCACAGGCCCTGGGCCTGGGACAGGAAGAGGGAGATTCCAATGAACAACAGGGCTCCGAGACAGGTGGACAAAGAGAGGAAGTTCCCTCCCTGGGGGAGGGGGAGTCCTAGGGCAAAAAGCTTCCCCGTTTGGTTCCCACTGACAGTTAGGGTCTTCCAGGCTGGATTGCGGCAGCCACAGTCCTCCAGGGACAAAAGAGAACAGAAAATGTTAGGTGGGGAGGAGGGAGGAGGGATGGGCTTCAGAAGACGGGGAAGGAGGGAGAGCTTAGCTGCCTCAAGGGCCACAAGTTTCTGCTCCGGGGGTCCTATCTTTTGCCTCCCGCAGTCCCCGCGGCCCTGAGCCTCGACTCCTGGCTGCAGACGCCTGGCGACACCCTGCACCTGACCCTCCTCACAAGCCAGGAGACCACCAAGCTGAACTGGTTCCTGTGGCCCACAGGGAGCCCCAGCCCCATCCTCCTGCGGGCAGGGTCACGTGAGTCCTTGACCTCCAGCTGGAACCGGGCTGTCCTCAGCATTGTCAACATCTCCCGTAAATGGGCAGGTAGCCCACCTGTCCTTCCCTCCTCTCTCCTCCCCTTCTGTTTTTCCTCCTCCCTCTCCTTCCTTCTTGTCTTGTCTTCTCTTCTTTTCCCTTATCTCCATTTATTCACTCTGGGGAAACTAAGGCTAACAGGCCCATTGATGTGAAGAATTATAATGAGAGAACGCTGAAAGCGTGGTCTCAATTTCAACTGAGAACAGATGCAGGTTTTTCTTCACGATGTTGAAATGGCAGCGGGGGGCGCAGGAAGGGCATCTACTGGGGGCAGAGGGGTTCACCTTAGGATGCATGGCTACAGGCTAATAACAAAGGGTCAGGATCTCGTCTTCCTCCTAGAAATCCTTTGGGGGACAGGGATCTTTCCTTCTGGGGTTAAGCTGAGGCTGGATGGAGAGGGCAGACCTAGGGTGTGGCTGGGGAAGCAGCAGAGACCCTGTGGCGCAGGTGGGGGCCAAGCGGCCGGGAGGTGCAGCAGGTGTGTGTCTGCAGGTGAGTACGTATGCTGCTTTGAGGCCCGGGGATTCAGGTGGGAGCTGCACCAGATGGTGAGGGTGCCCCTGCAGGTGACAGATGTGGCTGGGCTCCCAGACCAGCTCTCCATCTCCTGTGCCACCTCCCCTGGCTTCCAGCTGAGCTGCTGCATCCCCAGTGCCCACCTGGGCTACACGGCTTCCTGGAGCCCCAGAGACGGCAACGAAGGTATGGAAAGGGGCTGCTTGGCAGGGCTCAGGGGAGAGGGGGCAGCTAGTTGCCCCCAGGCAGCTGGCTCTCCAGCTCCCTGGAAGCAGAGGTTGCAGTTCAACCTGGGCGTTCAGGGTCCAAGTCCAAATCTGTTTTTACCTCAATTCTGTTCATACAACAATAAGCACACGTGTGTAGACAACTTTTGCATAATGCTTTCATTCACACGATCTCCGTGAACTCACACGATATTATTCTGTGAGGTTCATTTGATGATGGTCCCATTTTACAAACGAGTTCACTGTGGCTTCAGGGCCTGGAACTAGTAAGAGACGCCCAGGGAGGGTCCCCTTCCCCCCAAATCCAAGCTCTTCCTTCAGTAGTTTGATGCCCACATACAATTCAGCTCAGCTCCACTGCTTCATCCACTTCTGAAATTGCTAGAAAGACTGCCGAGGCACCTCTCAGACCCTGGGGTCTCGGTATGTCCCTGGCCCAGTGACCGTTCCCTTCTCTTGTCTCCCCCTCAGCCTCCTTATTCAACACGCCGGACTCCCAGTGCTTCGTGCTGGCTGTTCAGCGCTGCCCTGCAGCCGACACTACGTACACTTGTGGCCTGCAGGGCCCGGGACTGAGCCCTCTCGGGGTTGCCGTCTCTGTCACCGTCATCCAGGTACTTGGGGCTTGGGGTCCAGGTGGCTGACCTCTCACCTGCTCGTCCTGGGAGCTGCTTCCTGATGTCTCCCTGTGCTGGGCAACAGGGCCAGACCCCACACACTGCATGGGTTTCTGCCCAAGGAAAGGCTCGGGCTAGACTGGGTTGCTGAGCCTTCCCTGGTATCATTTCCAGGTGGAGACACCACCCGCCCTGAGGACTCTTCAACTATTGCCTGGAACGTCACCAAGACTGGCCATGTGGCACAGGCCCTGTGTCCCGGGAAGAGGAGGGGCATGGTGAAGAGGCCTTGTAGGCCTGAGGGGGTCTGGGGGCCCATCCATAGCAGCTGCACGGACACGGGGCTCCTGGCCTTGCTTCTTAGAGCCCGGGTAAAGCTTCTGACCCTGCTGCCCACATGCCCCATCCTCCACGACCTATCCCTTCCTCACTCAGGACCCAACTTTAGAGTCCTTTCCCCCAGAGACCCAGCCCGAAGGGTATTCAGGTTCTCTGAACTGGAGCCCTGGCAGAGCCAGGAAGCAGGTGTGGGCCCCTCAGAGCGGCCAGAGCTCTCATGGCAGGGAGGGTGCAGGTCCCAAGCCTTAATCCCAACAAGGGTCTGCTCCACAAAACTTGGTGTCAGTTTCTTCCACGTGGCTCGCTCCCCTCTCTGCTTCCTACTCCCCTGGGACAGGGCGCGGATCTGGGGAGAAAGGAGGTGGACTGGGGAGGAGGTGGCCCCTCCTTCTAGAGGGCTCGCCCACACCCACCCCCCCTGCTGTCTTATCTGCCTCAGCTGCTGAGGGCAGGCCAGGGCTGGCCTGTGGACGAGGTACCACAGATCTTGGCTCAGCTGCCGGAGCAGGCAGTGGTGGTGATCTCACCCACCAACTTATTGGCACTGGTGGCCACCATGACAATCCTGGCCAAGGTGGTGGCACATGCCAGAATACAGCTCAACGGCAGTGCCCTGGAGGTGAGATCCTTGAGCCACATCAGGGGCCATCTGGGTAGTGTGGGCTGGCAACTCTTCACCTCTGGGCATTTCTGTCCCTCTGACATCACCATGGGCTGTCAGATGGCAGACTCTTCTAGAGTCCAAGTGTCTGCTCCTCTGGTCCATTTCTCCTCTTGGATACCAGTCTCCAAGGCCACGGAGTGTGGAGGAGGCCTGATGCTGGGAACACATGGGAGGTCAGGGAAGGCAGGGAGGGGTGTGGAGACAGGAGTTCAGAGGCCTTCACGCACATGCAGATATGCGGATATGACGTGAATCCCCCCGTGCCCACACACAAGGTACCTATGTGGAGATACTCAAACGTACTTGGCTTTGCTGGACTCACCTAAACCAGCTCTCAGTATAGGCATCAGTTGCTGACCCAGAAGCTGCAACCAAAAGAATAATCAGGGACAATGACACTACACTGCACACCCTTTGTGTCTGGGAATATGCATCACATGGGGGCGCAGACATGCAGGTAGCCCTCTACTTCAGAACGCGTGCCCTCTACCTCTGGGCAGCATTCCTAGCTTTACGGACCTGTAGGGGTCCCCTTAGGACCTGGGTGGCCTCAAGGGATGGAAGGGGGAGAAGGGTCATCAGACGGAGGGGTGGGATGTGCATCAAGGGCCACATACTTGAAGATGCCCCAGCGGTTAGCTGAACAGCCCTCCATTCTTCCTGTCCAGAAAGCCTTCCCCAGAGGAGATGGGCACAGCTAGAAGCCAAGAGAAGACTGGGGTTTTAGGGCAAGCTCTCCAACAACAGAGAAAGCACCCCAGGCAGAGGACACATTCAGGTTCTTGGGCTCCTGATTATAACCTGGACTCCTGGTGACTCTGGATTGTCCCTTGTTTCTCCCTGAAAATCTGCCTCCAGTTAGCATTTGAAGGGAAAAGGTAGGATCGGAATGCACGGGAGTCACTGTAGCTGGGAGCAAAGTTCTTAGGATTTTTGCTGCCCGGGCAGGAGGGCAGGTGAAAATGTAAAAATGGATACAACCTCGTCAAAGGAGAGCTGGCAATAATAATAATTGCCCTGCAGTTGGGCCTTTCCACCCCTTCCTAGGCCACAAATGAAACCTACATCCCAGAACACAGCAAAGGAGGAAGTTAAGATGCCAGGTGAGAAAGAAGCATTCTTGGGAGCAGCGTGACCAGCGTGGAGTGAGGCCGAGTGTACAAAGGGCTTTCCAGCAAAGCTCTAAAAAGAAAACTCCTCTTCATATACCTGTCCCAACCTAAAGGGTGGAAAAAAGACTTCTCCAAGTAGACATTTCTAGAGGGGCTGAAGAAGGTGGAGGCCTCGGAAAGCAGATGGCATAGCTCCCACTGCTTTTCCCAGAAAGCTGAAGGGCATGTCACCACCACCAACCCTTGACTCAGTTCACTCTGAAAATTCCTTTTCACACTGTCGAATTTTTAATTACCCCGAAAAACCATTGTTTTGAAGGAACTGCCATTGGTGGGTCTGGTGTCCAGAGGAGAGGGTAGCTTGCAGAGGCTTTAGGGCGAGCTCTTTCATGTGGAAGACAGAAGCTCTGAGTGACCCACAGGCAGAGCCGTGTTCCTTCAAGGGTGTCGAGGGTGTGTCCTTGAATCCAGGGATGGGTCCTGGCCAATCCTCTGAACCCTTCCCGCCTCCCAGAGCTCAGCCCTTGGGAAAGATAGGCTTCTGTTTTCATTAGTCACGCTCATCTCTCTGGCAGCTTACCTGTTCCCCACCTGTGACTATCCAAGCAAGAAAAGTATGAAAAACTAACTAAAGCTACCTAATGAATAAGGCTGCCTTTGCTGTAAAAATAATCAACAGATATCAAAGTTCAAAATAATTACAAGTAAAACTGTCTCAACCAGTTTTTAACTAATCAACAGTTCATGTTACAGATATATTTGATAAAAATGATCTTATTTTAACTATTCAGTGATTTCTTGTCTGATTATTTCTTCTCTATAGATACAAAGAAAGGATAGCTTAATTGACAGGAACTCTGATCTTCTAAACATTGGAGGCCAAGGGGAGAATTTGGTTCATTTCTTTTCAAAATTTAGGAAAAGGTGAAGTTAATAGGTCCCTCTTTCTTTAATCTCTATAAAATGTAAGTTTCATAGACGTATGCATGTATACAAAAAGTCACTGATATGAGAACATTTGTAAGAATGTGGTATAAGTTTTAAAGTAGAGAGAAAGATAACACAGACTGCCAAGAATTAAGGAGAAAAGATGGCAAACACTGACATTTAAAAAATGACAGGATCAAGCTAAGACTAGATATAGAGAAGAAATATTTAAGAAAAGCCTTTAGAGGACACCAAGATATCTAGCTGAATTATCTTACAGAATCCACAAGAGGATGCTGACAGGACTCTGAAAATTTTTTAAAGTAAATAAATGAAAAAAATCTGACGAATGTTTGTTAATTTAAAAATTCATGGATATTTTTATAAAGTGGAATGAGGATGTTTTCTTTCGAAATAAAAAAGTGATATACTAACCACATGCCATTGAAAATATTTTTCTTACATACACTATATCTCCACTTAAGGATTTGTGTGAATATTTTAATTGTGTATAAACCAGCTCAAGTATTTCTCTAAATGGATTCAATCATTCTTTCAGATAGAACGTACCAACTCGCCAGGACAACTGCAATGTCTCTGCGCCTCATGCTTGTTCCAGCCCTCACCGGAAGCAGCAGCTACTGGAATCCCGTGGGGGCTTTGCCTTGCTAGTTTCCCTGGCAACAGAGTCAGGTCTCAATGCCACTTTCACTTTTTAAAATATTTATTTATTTTTAAATTAATTCATTTTTTATACAGCAGGTTATTAGTTATCTATTTCATACATATTAGTGTATATATACACTTTCACTTTATTAACAATTTACAGTCTTAATTGTTTTAATTATAAAAATTTTTTTGAAAAATTCAAGTAATATAGAATAGAAACAGCAGATTCCTTTCCTGAGTATGCTTCTGTAGACATATGTGTTCTCGTTTTCCTCCTCAAATGATTGCACACACTCAGTGCATGCTCTGCTGCTAAAAGCACACCTGAGAATGGATCAATGAAATGACATTAAGCCTTTGTTCACTTGGCTCTCACCATAAAAAAAAAAAGGAATGAAAAAGAATGCTCTGGAGGTAAATACAAGAAGGTGAGATAGAGCAGCAATTCCATTTCTAAAAAGAAGGCTTAAAGAAATAAGTAAACAAGTGAACAGATAAATGTACAAAGGGTGTGCACTCTAGTGTGTTTACATCCTCAAAAAAGAGGCACTTGGTAAAACAAATTAGGATATATCCATACAAAGGAATGCTATGTGGTCATTAAAAATGATGACATATAGCTACACCCACTAATATGAAAAAATGCTACATAGCTAAGTAAAACAAAAGGGTTCCAGAACACCATTATACCAGGCAATTATGTTCTATATGTCCACATAAATACGTACACATTAAAAAGGAGAGATATCAAAATATAAACAGTGGGTATGTCTACTTGATTTTTCATTTTCTTCTTCTACTCTATATTGTTTGAATTTTTTACGATGAGCATCTCTTTTTATATTGGAAAAATGGTTTTCAAAAGGTTTTCCTAGGGGCTTCCCTGGTGGCACAGTGGTTAAGAATCTGCCTGCCAACGCAGGGGACACAGGTTCGAGCCCTGGTCTGGGACGATTCCACATGCCACGGAGCAACTAAGCCCGTGCACCACAACTACTGAGCCTCCGAGCCACAACTACTGAGCCCGAGTGCCACAACTACTGAAGCCAGTGCGCCTAGAGCCTGTGCTCCACAAGAGAAACCACCACAGTGAGAAGCCCGCGCACCACAATGAAGAGAACCCCCCCCCGATGCAACTAGAGAAAGCCCGTGCACAGCAATGAAGACCCAACGCAGCCAAAAATAAAATAAATTTATTTAAAAAAATTTTCTTCCTGAACATTTTGCATATTTAAAAATAGAATATTGACAAGCAAAGAAACACAAACAAAATACGCCCTGGAATTTAAGTTTGTACAGAAGGATAGACTATATTAGGGGTTCCTGGGGAAGCTGTGAACTCCCTGTTTGGAGTTCTGCTTTGGGAATCAATTGATCACTGACGGTTCTTTAAGTGTGGAAGGGAAAAGGGCTCCAATTTGAGTATGACATTGAGTACAAACACTGCCAACATGTCTAAATGCTTCTTCTCTTTCACAATAATCTAGTTATTTTCAGAATAATATGTCTACTCACTATTTTTGTCCTCCAATCCCCACATTCTCCCATTTCCTCTCCATCAATGATCCCTCTTCATTGAGGAAGCACAATAAACCAGTTCAGAGTCCCCCCAAACCACAGCGGATATAGGCAGAGGGACTCTGAGTCATCCATTAAAATCTGAGAAAGCCCGGGAGACCCTGCTACCGCCTTTTACTCCTCAAGAAAGACCGGAACTTCAAAGGCCTTGAGAAATAAGCAAAACTGAGAAAGGATGGGGGAGAAGACAGGCGGAGAAGCAAACAGCTAGGGGCAGGGAAGAGTGGTGGGGAGAGGGTGGGGAGAAGTTGGGGAGCTGACCTTCTGAAATTTGAATGAAAGAAGATGAGGGCAAATAAAGGCTCCACTCTCAATTGGTTATTTGGTGGAACAGAGGGTCTAATTAAAGTTTTACATGAAAAGAGAGACACTTTTAAGTTGGGATCTTTAAAAACATAACCAGTTTAAGATATTTAAGAACAAACATCAAGAAGGTGTCTATAATCACCACAGCCAAGGATGATCTTTTGTAGCAGTCATGCTAATGAAAATAACGTGGCTCTCTCTATACATATAAAATGTTTTGAAATAGTACATAACTTTAACCTGTGTGCTCCTCTCCAATCCAATTCCACTGTCCCCTACCTAGAGGTAACTTCTGTTCTGAATGTTTTCCCTTACCTTAAAAAAATTTTTTTTTAATTGTGGTAAAATACACATAAAATGTTATCATTTTAATGATTTTTAAGTATACAGTTCAGTAGTGTTAAGTACATTCACACTGTAGTGCAACCAATCTTCAGAATTATTTTCATCTTCCAAAACAGAAATCCTATACCCATTAAACAACCCCTCATCCCCCCTCCCTCAAGCCCTGGCAACCACCATTCTACTGTCTTTATGAATTTGACTGTTTTAAATACCTGGGACAAGTAGAATCATACAGTATTTGTCTTTTTGTGACTGGCTTGTTTTACTTAGCATAATATCCTCAAGCTTCATCCATGTTGTAGCATGTGACAGGATTGCCTTCCTTTTTAAGGCTACATAGTATTCTATTGCATGTATATACACATTTTGTTTATCCATTGGTCCATCAGTGAACACCTGAGTTGTTTCCAAGTTTTAGTTATTGTGAATAATGCTGTTATGAACATGGGTGTATAAATATTTCTGAGACCCTGCTTTCAATGCTTTTGTATATATACTAGACCTGGAATTGCTGGATCATATGGTAATTCTATTGGGTTGGCCAAAACGTGCCTTTGGTTTTTAAGTAAAAATAGAAGACACATTTTTCCTTTTCACCAAGAACTTTATTCAACAATGTATTCACCCTTTTATTCCACTACCTTCTGCCATTTTTCAGGCAACTTCATAATTCCATCTCCCCAAAACTTTTTATCTTTTTGAGCAAAGAACTGTTCCAGGTGCCTTTTACAGTCTTCCAGGGAATTGAAATTTTTTCCATTAAG